AAGGTTCAACGCCAATCTAACGACACTGAACCGTGTAAATTATTATATATAAACAGCAATAAAGGCGTATTAATTATATCGATAATACTACTAAATAAAAAATAAAAATAATAATAATAATAAGGATAATTGTAATCGATAACAGCGTTACTTGTGTGTAAAATAACTTCTAGCTGACAACGCTAATATACTCAAACGACTTCGCTTCTCTAATTTGAATTATATTAAAAAAGAAGAGAGGCGAAATCGTGTGTGTGTGTGTGTGTGTTGCTGCGAGAAAAATTTGTTTTTCCTCTTTCTATATAATAAGGTACAATTCTTTCAATCTTCTTAAGTACTGAATACAATATTATCGTCGATACGAGCCATTATTATTGTTACTGTTACTGTTATTTATATTCGTTTTACATTCAAGAAACACGCCAGCAGACCATCACGAAAGAAATGCCTATCTCGAATCGTCCATCGTCATCCTTCGAAACTCGTCCCATCCTACAGTTATTTTTCTCCATTTTTATCCATTCCTGCTCGTCGATGAATATTGAAGTTTATTATGAAAAGCTAGTTCGTTTACGTCGTTTTATAATAAAATACATTTATATTATAGTCCTGGACCTCGCAAAATTTCTCATTGATCCTCGTGATTTACATGAAAAATGGTATCACATCGAGCAACACTTACATAATGTTTTCGATCGTTAACGCGAGAGAGATAAACAAAAAAACTCTAGTCGATGTTAAATAGTCGGCAGACGTCATTCCTTCTTTTTTCTTCCTTTCTTTTCTTATAAAAAAATAACACTTTGTTCCTTCTATTCGCTTCAAGCGCTAACAATTTGCAATCTCTGTCGCAGTCACGAATTTCAATCAATCCCTATCTTTCCGCTTGTTGTATCATAAATTTAGACTGTTCTAAGATAAGTTCTTCATATATAGTCACTAAACTGATAAAAGATACAAGTGATTTTAGTAGTTGAACATGTTAAACTTATACTGAACATTCTAAATGTTTTTGAGAGTCTTCAGACTCACATTAAATTAATAACATTTAATTCATAATTCTGCATATAAAATAGTTATTGTATACGTAAACGTTGAATTAATAAACGTGGTCGACAACCATCAATATTTTTATACTAAATATAGCATTAGAAGAAATCCTTTGCACTTCTACCAAATCTTAAACAAAAGGTATCGACAAAAGTCGCAACAGCGAAATCTCCTTGTATCTTTTCTAATTCAACATGTAATTACTTTATGCGATACTTATCACAAAATAGCCTGGTCCATTAAAAGCAAACATATGTCTCACAATAGTATAAGCAATAACTTCCTATCCTCCTATATTACTCCATTCAAACGATAGTCACTTACATGAACACCAGCAGGAAAACTTAGTTAAAACTTCACCCCGCTCTTCACGCAGAAATGCAAAATCCGATCATCACAGCAAAGGGCACAGAGTGTGTGAACAGAAACTATTTGAGGAGTATTTTCTAGTTACAAGCGAATACAATGCATCCATTTAAATATTCGAATGCAACGGGTATGCAGTCTCGCCGCACGTGAAAAACAGTAAGCATTTATATTAATATATATATGTACGTGTATATATATATTAACATCTGATCTCTCCTATAAGCAAGGGAAACTATCGTACGCAGCTGAACACGCTATAAACGAATAATGCGTTCTATTTCTCCATATATCAAAGATGATTCCTTAATAGCGAAATAAATCATGTGTGATTGTGCATACTGTAACTATAACTTCATGTATTTATTATTTATACGAAAATGTTTGCCTTTTGCGTTTTTTCCCTGGGATACCCTGTATCCATTGAATTCTAACCCTTTCAAGTACGTATTCTTTGAAATCGAATCTGCAATTATACTTGAAAATGAAATTACTAACTCTTTTGTACATTCATGTACAAATTTTTTTGTAACATTCAAGAGAAAATAATTTTTGAAATACAAAAAGAATTTTCCCAGTAATGAGAACGCAAAGGGCTTAAATATAATATAATATTCTTTCTAAAATAGAGCACACTCAAGAACTCACTCGTATAAAGGATAAAAGATATGGTGCATATAAAAATTTCTATTGCAAGCGCTTAACACGATGATAATAGTCGCCTAAATTAATTACACAGTATAAAGTTAAATGTAAACAGGTTAATATTAACTTAATAACGTATATGTATCAACAATGCATAGTTTAGCAATAATATAAAATCTTCAATTTCGGGTTGTTTCACTTTATAATCAAAAACGCAACGTTAAAAGAAGAATATTATTTTTAGACATTACGCATAGTACCGTTTCTATTTATAAAAGTGACGATATTTTCCGAATTTTTATAATGAAATAAAACTTTTATAATGAAATAAAATAACACGTAATATAGAAAATAATAACAAACAATAAAAATGAAAGAAAAAACGTAAACGAGTGTCATCGTTTTTTTTTTTTTTTTAATATTAAAAGTTCCAATCTATTATATATAGCCGATATGAATTTTTTTTTTTTCGAAGTTTAAAGTATAAAAATTTGTTATGCGTAACAAATTACGCGTAATTAATCCACGATGAAACACCCCGTCTACTTAAGAAATAACATTTTCCCCCTCCTTTCAAGATCAAAAACAAAACGGATACTATGATTTGTATCAAATGTATAACTATTTTACAAAAGTCTACGTTAATAATCCTCACCATCTCGATCTCTACTGTAATTTCATCGATCTTCCAAATAGCTTTTTCCTTCCCAAGAATCATCTTCGTTACAAAATGCAAAAGTCAGTCACTTATTTTTGTAACTGAATAAAATGTTATGTATAGTATAATAACAATGAAATGCCTGGCTCGAAACTATGATCGGGTTAGCAATGAATTGGGTTAGTTAAATAACATGCACAATTACACGTCTGTTAAAAAGATAGCATGGATAAGATTCTTTGGAGGAGTTTTCAGTTGACGATTAAGATCATTCATCGGGCGTCCTTCGCTGTTAACTTTTCTATTAATTCCTGTAACGGTGCCAATTCTCTTCTTTCTATCAAGTTAAACTCCTGTGAAACAAACGCGATATATGAACATTAGATCACGATGGGACATCTCTTTGTTGAACATTTGTATAGTTTTGAATACTCTACCTGAACAAAAAAGATAAAATGCTTGAACGATGTATTTAAATGCGCTTCCTCACCAAGTTGGACCACTTCGCTAAAGTGCTGATGATAGATGTGTGCATACACTCTAAATAATCTTTTCAGTATTGTCTTGGCAATGGATAAGAAATTTTTTGGGAAAGGGACTCCTGTAAAATTATGATTTTATCAGCATGTGAAATATAAAATTATCTTATCTAAACTAAATAAAACTAAATAACGCGACTGACCGATTTTCGAGGGAAAAAGGGTTTCATCATCTAACTGATCTTGCACCCAAGTCATTAAGTAATCAATATACTTTGGTGCAGAACATTTAATTGGTTTTTTAACAGTATGCCCATCAGCCCAATGATATTCGTATTTTGGTCCTGCCGACATGATAGGGCAACTTTCTTCCGTACAGAATTCAGTGATGGTGCCAAATAACATGTTGATTTGGTTGAAAAAATCAACAGCTGCAGCATTGTAAGTAATAAAACAAAATTGGTTGTCATCTATCAATTATTGAGAGGAAAAATATGAAACATAAGTAATTTAATAATAACATAATAATACATACTATTTACTGCGACCCACTCGTTTAAATCTTCACCTTCAGGAAGCATAACCGCAAGTCTTAAATTTCCTGAGCCCAAAGTGGCCGCTGCGTGCTTCATCAGGTCATACTGGTGAGTTCCCTCTGGGATATTTTTCTTTGGCTTGAAGGTTTTCGAAGACCTGCTTCCACTTGAATCAAAACACCATGAACATACATTTCAACTATTCAATATTAATTTCCACGTCAATGAGAAACATGAAACAGAATGTCTGATTTGTTTACAGACTGAAATGTTTCATTCTAAATATCTACAACAACAAATAAAAATCAGTTGATCATACATGATCACGTGAAACGCGAATATAGAAGAAAAGACGCGCAAATCTTACGAGTGAGCAAAACGATGTTTAAGGCGGATGCGACAAATTGACTGATCGGCATTGCAGCTAAGAACTTGCCCAATATGTGTCTTATGATATCGGAGAGGCGCATCGTATCTAAAGAGAAAACTCTGCTATCACGGTACGACATGCGAGATGTGCCCCATAACGAATAACTGGACGTGTGATGAATATGCGCGCGTATATAGCAGGGAAATTGCGTGAAAGCAGTGGTTGAGAGGTTCGCGGAGATCGCGGGTCCGAAAACGATGGGATTTTTAAAAGAAATTACGGCATCGCTCTATTTTTAGATATCCACCAATTGGTCGATCGCATGTGTATACGAATCGAGGAGTACATCGGTTCGTGGCTACCTAAATTAGCAAAGATAACATCGGCGAAAACAGGTCGGGCAGTTTCAATATATATCTATGCTCACCGCGATCGCGATCTACGGCAACAAATTACCAATCTCTCCCTTGGTGTCGTTTATCGTTTCCAAATAACGTTTGTCGCGACGTGATATTAACAGGAGGATATCGAACGGTTTGGTGTGCATGTTTCTTCGCAGCATCGAAAATTCAACACCGGATACATCGAAAAAAGCGTACAGCAAGGTAAAAGTCGATTTTTCGTGTAAACGGGGAAAGGGGGGGAGGGGAGAAAAAAACTTACAATAGGAAGCTCATCGTGCGCTCTTGGATGACCTGTCGGTGAAATTCAATTCGCTGCTACACGGCTGCACGTATCGTTGATTTTCGTAACGGCGTGCAAATGTTATGGAATTTCGCTGCGAACGATTCTTAGCATCTACCATGCACTGCTCTCCTGCAACAGCACGACGAACGTTCCATCAACTACGTTCTCCGTGATCACTTCGATCGACTTCAATCCTTCCACTGTCGAACGGGATTCTATTGGATTCAGTCACGACCTCTGTCTCGCGACGCGAAATGTTCACCTTTCCCCGTTGCTTTGCGATACTTTATTACTTCGATATTTGGGATGTCTTACCTTAATATATCAATATTAACTATTTAAACAGCTACAGTCCAAAAATTTGTAGGTCTAAACAAGTCTAAATACGTAACACGATCGATATAGTTTGGTAAAAACTGATATTTTATAGTCGACGTTTGATGACTTTAAGAACTGCAACGTGGAGTTGCGTGTTTGCCTGCATGCGTTTCTGTTGGCGCGAATTTCAAACCTTATAAAATTCTGACGTCTTCTTCAAACTCCGTGGCGTTTGAAATTTTTCAGATTCTTCATGGGGTGCTCCGTGCTCGGTAATTCATTCAACATTTCCAGCAATTCCATCCTGTTTCGAGATTGTTCTTCCCTGATCTTCTTTATCCTCGATTCAAAATTCGCGCCGAAAGTTTCAGAACGCGTTCATAATGATACTTGCAATATATCAAAATGAATATGCAACTACCAATAATTGTACATAAATCTTTGTAATATTAACATATATTTTATACTTAATTAAATATTAATTTGTTTTTTAAAATAATACATTAATAATAAAAGAATTGCAAATTTTTGTTTCGCTTAATGAAATATATATGGTGTGTTTCTAAAGCAACAATTAATAGTCGTCCGTGATTTCTCTTTTCATATATTTTAAGAAGTATAAAATATTTTTAGCTACAGTACGTGTTACTTTAATTTTTAAAGTTTATGCAAATCCTAAATAAACCAAAGACTTTATATATCTGTGTTTTATTGTAGCGCGTTTCATGTTTGTGAACCAGTCACAAACTTCGTTAGGGTAAACGCCATTTTGCTGATTGTTTCGTAGAGCGTGGAGTTGGTGAAGCGTTTTCTGTCAATTAAGTAAAATCTGCAATTTTCTTTTCTAACTTGTAGATCACCAAAGAGCCGTAAGTTTGATTAATAATATTTACAATTTACGAAACAACCATATCTTGCTGGCATAAGATCAAAAACTAGAATATTACCGATATTTTTCAATGGCGAGGTATCCTTTTTTCAAATTGTTCCAACGATTTTGTTGCACATGTTGCAGTTTTTCTTGTACATTAATCCTTCAAGTCTTAATAACAAATTATGAAATATTATATTTGCAATTATTTTAACATTTGATCGGATATGACCGACCTCCAAATTTTTGAAGGACTGTTATTATAAATTTAATACAGTACAAATGATGTAATACGTATTTAAGTGAAAATTTAAGTAATAAAAGAGTAAAAGAGACGATAAATTGTTAGAATATGTTACATGTAAATAGTAAATAATAATTATGAAATATTTAAATGAAAAAAGTCAAGATATATTTATATGTGTTGTTACGCATTTTATTCTAGATTACAACCATGTCGAATGGAAGTGGAGATCATGATGACGAAGGCTACGTTGTTAAATTGCGTGGACTTCCATGGTCTACCACTGTTGACGAAATCATGAAATTCTTCAGTGATTGTTCCATCACAAATGGTAAAAATGGTGTACACATGACAATGTCAAGAGAGGGCCGTCCAAGTGGAGAAGCTTACGTTGAAATGGACACACTTGAAGATATTGAAAAAGCTTGTAAACGAGATAGGGATCACATGGGCCATCGTTACATAGAAGGTTTGTTACGAAAAAAGGCAAAAATACAAATATTTTTAAAAGACATAATCAATGTATACTTTTTCATTGTAGTTTTTAAAGCAAAAAGAGGTGAAATGGAGTGGGTAGTTAAGAGAAGTGGCATGAATCTAGAGAATGCTATGGATGATGGTTGCGTGAGATTACGTGGTCTACCATTTGGCTGTTCTAAAGAAGAGATTGCTCAGTTCTTCTCAGGTATTTTATACCATACATTCAAACTTGTGTTCTTTTTCTTGGTATAATATTGCTAGAAATTCATTTACACCTTATTGGTGATCAATGTGTCTTGTTTTTTCTTTTATATATATATATATATATGTATGTATATAATTATATATATATATAATTAAATTATTTGCTTATTGTTTAATTTTTATTGATTAAATAAAAGTTGAATCACAGGGACTAAATGCTTTTGATGGTTATAGTACATATGGTGATAGTATATAGGTAATAATATAGCTTTTTATTCTATCCTCACTTTAAAAAAATGAACATAGGTGCTTTGAATTAATGTAGAAGAGAGATACGTTCCAAAATTGAAATATTAAAGATTCAAGATAGGAATGAAAATATCTGCCAGGACAAGACACATTAAAATAAAACCATCTGGCATTTCAGTATTTTACATACGTGTGAATATGAAATTCATTTTATACCCGTCCCAAGCAGTGTCTCTGTGCTTCTGTAATCATCAGTTGGCCTTAGTTAAGATTTAAGAAAGTTCCTGTGTTCTGCAATCCTTTATAGACTTAAAAAAAAAAGAAAAAAACAAAAATGATTTATTATAATTTCCATATCTGCTTTCTATAGTTGTACAAAAATTTCCTTATCTTTTTAATTTATATCTTTGTGTTTTCTATATATGAGAACTTAATTCTTAACTTCGGCGTAGTCGACATTCTTTTTGTTTTGACTTAATTGAGAAATTTTTGGAGCGAGACGCATTTTGCACGTAAAATGTGCAAAGGATGTTTTAAATCTTGCTTCTTTATAAGGGTTTTAAATAAACTGACGATACTATAATTAATAATGGGTGTTACGCTACAATGTCGATGTTTGATTATGTGTGGGTCAGGGTTGGAGATATTGCCGAACGGGATTTCACTACCGACAGACTACACGGGCCGCAGTACTGGGGAGGCTTACGTTCAATTTGTTAACAAAGATGTTGCGGAGCGCGCTCTGCAGAAACACAAGGAAAAGATAGGACACAGGTGGGGCACTGACGCTAGCTGGGTTTGGGTATACTTATGACTTTTCAATATCATTTTATGATCGTAGTACATGTAGGTATATAAATTTTGTTAGTAAATAGCGGGAACGAATCTTTATATATTAGACGCAGTTTCTTTATTATCTTATCTTACAAATAGGAAGACGTTTTTGCATTAAAATAATTTGTGTATTGGTAACAAATGATTCCAAAATGGATTATATGATTAAAAAGGTGTTTATAAAACTTTGAATTCATATTATTCTATTGTGGAAATTAATTGTATAAAGAAACTGCTTCTCTCTGAACAAAGAAAAAGAAAAGAAAATTAGCGGTACGTAAGCGAAAGTACTGTTGGCCCAACTGAAACCTATGGGTGGGTGCCGGGCGGGAGGTACCCCCTTACATCGTCACCAAATCCCATGGGAGGTGGGTAGGGCTAACCCAGGATGGGTGGGCGCTACGGAGGTAGTAATCATCGATCTAATTTGGCACACCTGTTTGACAATTGCACAATTGTACGTTTTATGCAAGACAATGTAATATTATAATTCGAACTCAAAGGCTTTGCACAGTTTCTCTTTTTGTAAGATCACTATTTATAGTTGATACATACAGCTCGTTTTAATTGCACGGAAATACTTTATCATGGTCATATACGATAAGATACGCTAACTTCAGTCATTTTAGCTTTCTTTCTTTTTTTAAAATCTTTTTCAAATTAAACGTTTAAATTCGAAAAATACTTTTATTTTATGTCGTATCATTTCTCAATACTTATATATTGTTTATCCTTTCTTTCTTTCTCTCTCTCTCTTTCTCTTTCTCTCTTAAGTTGCATAAAGTGCAATTGTAATTGTCATATACCTGAAGATCATCAGCATCTCAATGGCTAGGGTGACATAAGATACATCAGAATGCAATGTCACCGAGGGAGGGTATCTACACACAGATTTAATAAATATGCGGAGGTGTAGTATGAACAGTTAATCCATTACAAAATTCTCAGTATGGATTTTTTCTTCAAATCACTTATTATTTTTCTTATCATTTTATTTTTAATTTTTTTTCTTCTCTCTCTCTTTTTTATATTGGAACAATAATCGATTAATTTTGTTACACGAAAGTCGTTTATCTTCGACATGGTACTTCCTATTTATATCTATTTTCGTTTAGAAATTCGATATATTTTATGCTTACTGATATTTTTGCATTTTCTCTTATTTGAGAAGGCAGCCGACGATATGAGCGGCAATAATGTTTATACGAGAATAATAATAACTAATATCAATCTTAACAGATACATCGAAATCTTCCGAAGCAGTTTGTCCGAGGTACGCGCTAGTATTGGACCGAAAATGCGAGGTGGGCCGATGGGTGGTTTCAATCAGAGACCTGCACCGTATGACCGAGGCTCTCGTTTTGGAGGAATGAATCGCTTTAGCAATAATAGTCGAGGTTCTAGGAATAGAGGTACCACACGAAGTCATTAATAATTATGATAATTTATATTAGATTATCTTCCTCTTATTAATACGTTTGATACGTTTTAGACTTTGATGGTGGTCCGTGGGCAAGTGGTAATAACTTCGATTCACGCGGAGGAAGTATGGGGATGAGAGGTGGTTTAGATATGAAAGGTGGAAACTTTAGAGGCAGTGGTGATACATGGGGTGGTAATTCTGGTATTCATAGTATACACATGCGTGGATTACCATTCAAAGCTACTGAACAAGATATAGCCGACGTAAGTTTCTGACTGAATGAAATAAATGTGTAAAATTTTTATTATTAAGTTAATATATTTGTGAATGAATATTTATCCCATAATTCCAGTTCTTCAGACCTATCGAACCAGTAAATGTTCGAATTATTCTTGAAAATGGTGGACGTCCTTCTGGAGAAGCTGACGTAGAATTTGCAACTCACGAAGAAGCTGTCAAGGCTATGTCCAAGGTTATTTAGTTAATAAATTTAACTAACGTCATTTAAATTAATTTTTCAATTAATTATTTCCTATTACAATGTTGCATAAATTGTTGTAGGACAAAAGCCATATGTCTCATAGGTATATTGAATTATTTTTAAATTCAACTGGTGGTTCAAGCGGAATGTCATTGGGTGGCATTGGAAATTTCTGCGGAGGTATCTTCGTTTTTATTAAACTTTTGAAATTTTAAATCATTTATTTTTTAATTATTTATTTTCCGAATATAATTAACATTGAGTAAATATTAATTTAAAATTTCTATTCCTAGGCTTGGGTAATAACTTCAGGCCCGGATATTCCCCAAACAGAGGCTTCAGCTCTCAACTAGGAGGAAGTAATTATAATAGTTTTTGAGGTCGGATGTCGCGTTTCTTACGCTATCGACGATAAAACATTACATAAATCAAAGATTTAACATACTGAATTACAATTGTATTACAGTGAAATTTCATTTCCGTATTACGTTCAGTTGAAAGTTGATTAGTGTTTCACTGTTTCATAGAACTATTAAACAGAACATAAAGTTTGTTTAATAACTAAAGTAACATCGATGAATATTAATTAGTTTAATATTTTTTTTAAGGGATGAATTTAATGAATCAGAATTTATTACGACTCTGTTTCATCTTCACTTATTATTAAAATAAGATAAACATTATCATAAATCATTTCATCAAATTATTGATACAATACAAGTTTTATTCGTAATAATCATAAAAGACAAATTATATTTTTCAGTATAATAATTCCGTTATATCGTAAAAATCTAAGTCACAAAATTTTTTCTCTTTTCTTTTCTTTTTTTTTTT